GCGCGCGGGCGGGTGGAGGGGTGCGACAGAGAGGCACAGAGAGAGAGAGAGAGAGAGAGAGAGCGAGAGAGAGAGAGAGAGAGAGAGCGCGCGGAGGAGGAGGAGGAGGTGGAGGAGGACGAGGAGGAGGAGGAGGAGGAAATGGACAGCAGTGTCGGCATATCTTTTGGTTGCGGGCGTGCCATCTGGGAGCAAAATCGCCCAGCGGTAATGCTTCTCCGCATCGAGCACAGACACAAAATGAAGCTGGCTGCGCAACACATGCCTTGCACATTCTCTCGGTTTTGTGTCGGTGTCGAACTGCGAAGTCCTCGGGGGCGAGCTCCTCGTGACAGCGAGTACACGGCAAGGCCACCGCAGGTTTGTTTTGGAGGGCGGCGCATGCGTTGCAAGTCTTTGTGGCTTTGTGTAGCTGAGTGGGTGTGAAAGAGTGGCGCGGAAGGTCGGTCGTGCACACCGAGCACGTGAAAGATGCCCGTGTGGCGCATTCTTTGCAAGTCTTCGTGGCTTTGTTTAGCTGGTTAGGTGTGAACGAGTCGCGCGGCAGGTCGGCCTCGCAGACAGAGCACGCAAAGCATGCTGCCCGCTTGGGGCCCATGGCGCAAAGCAAATGATCACGGCGTACATATGCCCATCCCAAGAATGGGAGATCTACGCACTTCGAGCCAACGCGTCGGAGTGTACTGAAAATGAAGCAACATGGTGGAGGGGAAGCGGGAGAAGGGGAGGATGTGGAGGACGAGGTGAGAGGAGCTTGAAGGAAAACTGAGCATCATAGTTTAGTGCCCGGGCTCTCTGAAGGAAGAGTATAAGAAGTCGGTGAGGGGGGAGAGAGGAGAGGAGGAGGAGGAGGAGGAGGAGGAGGACCAGCAGAGTGCGGCGGGGGAGAAAGGTGGACAGAGGGAGGAGAAGGAGGACGAGGAGAGGGAGAAACAGGAGACAAAGGAGGTGGGCTCCCGAGACGAGAGGGAAACTGCGCATCAAATTGTGGTTCCCCAGACCCTTCAAGCCTGTCGTGGGATCTCTTTGGGGCCCCCGAGGTGTGTTTTGTGGCGCCTTGGTGTCTTTGGGGAGCTTGGATATGAGTCTCAGATCTGGGGCCCTTCAGAAGGCAGCGGAGAAGCAAGACAGCGAACTACAGGAGAGAGAGGAGCAGGAGGAGGAATAGCAAGAGGAAGCCTGGTCGTAGGCCCGTGGTGGGGTCTTCTTGGACCGTCCAGGAGTCTCGTGGGTTCTTCAGGTGAGCTGGTGATAGCAGTCTCGGGTCTGGGGTATGTTTTAGTTCTCGCGAGTGTTCCGTGGGCTTCTGAGACGGAAGGAGAACTGCGCATCAAATTGTGGTTCCCCAGACCCTGGAAGTCTGTTTTGGGATCTCTTTGGGGCCCCCGAGGTGTGTCTTGTGGCGCCTTGGTGTTTTTGGGGAGCTTGGGTATGAGTCTCAGATCTGGGGCCCTTCAGAAGGCAGCGCAGAAGGAAGACAGCGAACTACAGGAGAGAGAGGAGCAGGAGGAGGAAGAGCAAGAGGAAGCCTTGTCGCAGGCCCGTGGTGGGGTCTTCTTGGGCCGTCCAGGAGTCTCGTGGGTTCTTCAGGGGAGCTGGTGATAGCAGTCTGGGGTCTGGGGTATGTTTTAGTTTTCGCGAGTGTTTTGTGGGCTTCTGAGACGAAAGGAGAACTGCGCATCAAATTGTGGTTCCCCAGACCTTGGAAGCCTGTCGTGGGATCTCTTTGGGGCCCCCGAGGTGTGTCCTGTGGCGCCTTGGTGTCTTTGGGGAGCTTGGATATGAGTCTCAGATCTGGGGCCCTTCAGAAGGCAGCGGAGAAGGAAGACAGCGAACTACAGGAGAGAGAGGAGCAGGAGGAGGAAGAGCAAGAGGAAGCCTTGTCGTAGGCCCGTGGTGGGGTCTTCTTGGAGCGTCCAGGAGTCTCGTGGGTTCTTCAGGGGAGCTGGTGATAGCAGTCTGGGGTCTGGGGTATGTTTTAGTTCTCGCGAGTGTTCCGTGGGCTCCTGAGACGAAAGGAGAACTGCGCATCAAATTGTGGTTCCCCAGACCCTGGAAGCCTGTCGTGGGATCTCTTTGGGGCCCCCGAGGTGTGTCCTGTGGCGCCTTGGTGTCTTTGGGGAGCTTGGATATGAGTCTCAGATCTGGGGCCCTTCAGAAGGCAGCGGAGAAGGAAGACAGCGAACTACAGGAGAGAGAGGAGCAGGAGGAGGAGGAGCAAGAGGAAGCCTTGTCGTAGGCCCGTGGTGGGGTCTTCTTGGACCGCCCAGGAGTCTCGTGGGTTCTTCAGGGGAGCTGGTGATAGCAGTCTGGGGTCTGGGGTATGTTTTAGTTTTCCAGAGAGTTCCGTGGGCTCCTGAGACGAAAGGAGAACTGCGCATCAAATTGTGGTTCCCCGGACCCTGGAAGCCTGTCGTGGGATCTCTTTGGGGCCCCCGAGGTGTGTCTTGTGGCGCCTTGGTGTCTTTGGTGAGCTTGGATATGAGTCTCAGATCTGGGGCCCTTCAGAAGGCAGCGGAGAAGGAAGACAGCGAACTACAGGAGAGAGAGGAGCAGGAGGAGGAAGAGCAAGAGGAAGCCTTGTCGTAGGCCCGTGGTGGGGTTTTCTTGGACCGCCCAGGAGTCTCGTGAGTTCTTCAGGGGAGCTGGTGATAGCAACCTGGGGTCTGGGGTATGTTTTAGTTCTCGCGAGTGTTCCGTGGGCTCCTGAGACGAAAGGAGAACTGCGCATCAAATTGTGGTTCCCCGGACCCTGGAAGCCTGTCGTGGGCCCTCTTCGGAGCCCCCTTGGTCTGTCTTGGCACCCCTGGTTGCTTTTGGGGAGCTTGTGATAAGAGTATGTGGTCTGGGGCTTTTGACGAGGCAGCGGAGGAGGAAGACAACGAACTACAGGAGGAGCAAGAGGAGCAGGAGGATAAAGAGCCGGAGGAGGAGGAGCAGCAGAAGGAGGTTGGGAGGAGATTTCCGAAGAGTTGGTGTCGAGAGTTAGGTTGGAACCTTCTTGGACTTTCTTGGGGATGTCTTCAGAGCCTCGAAGGAGGAGATTTCCGAAGAGTTGGTGTCGAGAGTTAGGTTGGAACCTTCTTGGACTTTCTTGGGGATGTCTTCAGAGCCTCGAAGGAGCAGCTGGAGGAGGATCAGGAGAAAACCTCCTGAGAAAATGAGTATCAGTTTTCGTATCCCGGAGTCGGTGGAGGCAAATGAGGAGAGGGCGATGGAGGAGGAGGAGGAGGACGAGGAGGAGGAGGAAGGCGACGAGTTCGAGGGAAGAAGGAGGTTGAGGAGGGGATGAGGGGCAGAGAGGGGGAAACGGAGGAGGAGGAGGTAGAGAAGGACGAGAGATGGGCTGTCGGACGTCCGAGTAGGTCATGCCGAGAGTTATCTTGGAACCCTCTTGGGCTCTAGTGGGGATGTCTGCAGGGCCTCATGTGCCGTCTTGGGGCGAGGTTGAGAAGAACTAGGGGCGATGGGGGGGGCCGCTCAGGTCAATCAGAGTGTAAAGAATTTGACGGCTCTAAGACTGAGTGGAGCTCCTGTTGGTGCTTTTGTATACCATCGGAGGGCCTTCTTGGGCTGTCCTGGGGCCCTCGTGGGCTGTCTGGGGGGGCTTGGGCCGTCCTGGGGCCGTGTTGGGGCTCTCTCGGGCCCTCTCTGAAGCATCCCGTGGCTCTGTTGGGGCCCTCTTGGAGGTCTTTTAGGGGTCTTTTGGGCGCTCCCTGGCTTTCTTGGCGCTTTATTGGCCCATCTTGGGGCCCCATTGGGCCGCCTGGAGGCCATTTCGGGGCGACCTCGGAAGCTCGCAGACCATTCTTGGGCCGTTCGTGGCCAGAAAAGGCGAGAAGCACAGAGTCGTTCAAAAACCAACGGAAAATTAAGGTTTTTGGCCTGCTGAGGCCGTATTGGAGGTCTTTGCGGGGGCATCCTGGGCCGTCTTGAGCCCATGTTTGGTCCTGTTGGAGCACTCTGGGGCCGTCTTGGGGCCTCTTGGGCCTTGCAGAGGACGTCTGGGAAGTGCCTTCTGCTGTCTTGGGCTCCCGATGTAGGCCTCGTGTCGCTCTCTTCGGGGCATTTTGGGCCGCCTCGAAGCATTGTGGGGCTCTCTTGGGGGCCTGTGGGGTTCATCTGGGGTCCATGTGGGGGGGGGTGTCGGTGACATGCCGGGTTTTTCCTTGTAATTTGATAGGTAGAAGGAATATATATATATATATATATATATATATATATCGGAGGTTGGGGGGTGAGATCGAAGTGGAACGGAGAGCCCCCCTACCGGGAAATCGATTTCGGTTTCGTGTTCGTGCGTGCCGTGCGTGCGGGCGAGGCCCCGTGCACCCACCAGTACAGGCTAGGCTTTGCCAGCCGCTCTCTCCGAGCGCGCCCCGTTCCTTCGGGCGGCCGCGCGGGCTCGCCGCCGCGGCTGGAAGCGAATCGAAAAACTGGGGCGTCTGGGCCCGTGGAGTTCGGCCGTCTACATAAACAGGGATACGCCGACAGGACGCCGCCGCCGTCGCTGTCGCAGCAGTTCTCATCAATTGCATTTGCACCATGTGCGACCCGACAAAGGGAGGGAGAGGAGCCTCAGCAGGCCTCCGAGAAAAAAAACTCCACTGGCATCGTCAGGAGAACAATCACCACTGTTGCCGATTGCTCGGCCCCTCCACCCCCCCCATCCTCCTTATCACCCGCAGGGTGGTCGTATAGGTATATCTATATATGTATATATATGTGTATATATATACTCCTCATCATCATCATCATCATCATCATCATCATCATCATCATCATCATCATCATCATCATCATCATCATCATCATCATCATCATCATCATCATCATCATCATCATCATCATCATCATCATCCTTCTCCTCCGCCTCCTCCCCCTCCTCCCCTCCGTCCGCCTCCTCCCTCCTCCCTCCTCCTCCTCCTCCGCCTCCTCCTCCTCCTCCGCCTCCTCCTCCTCCTGGGGAGGCGACCTCGCTGGCCGACTAGGGCTGCCACCGACCAAGACGTGGAGCAGCTGGCGCAACGCGAACCCGCTCCAGGGGAGGCCCGTCTCCTTCCCGCTCCAGGCCGGAGGAGGGAGGGAGGAGGAGGAGGAGGTGGAGGAGGAGGAGGAGGAGGAGAAGGAGGAGGAGAAGGAGAAGGAGGAGGGGGAGGAGGAGGAGGAGGAGGAGGAGGAGGAGGAGGAGGAGGAGGAGGAGGAGGAGGATGGGAGGAGGGAGGGGCGAGGGGGGAAGGGGCGAGCCTGTGGTTCGAGCCTGTGGTAGTGGACGCCTCCCCGAGAGGCGCGCGCCCCGCGGCGTGCGCCTCCACCCCGAGGCGCCCTGCGGGCCAGCCCAGAGCAGAGGCGGCGTAGGGCTCCACGAAGGGGCGCCCCCAGGGACGGCCCCTGGTGGCCCGCCCGGCGCACACGCGCGGTGCAGGCAGGCAGGCAGGCAGCGAAGGCGGCTCCCCCGTGCACGAGGGCTGCATCCAGGCAAGCGCCGCCGGGCTGACGGGGTGCCCCCAGCTGAGCAGATGCATGCCTCGGTGAGGAAGCCAAAATCGCTTGTGTGCATCAGACGTCTCAGGCCGCCACTCTAGAGGACCTTGCACTTCCGGCAAGGAGGCTCCTGAGAGCGGCGCGACTCTGGTCCGCGGCGCGCGCCCGTCGCGCACGAGGGCTACAGTCGGACCTGGGCCAGAAGAGCATCCTTCAAGAACATGCCGGCCAAAACACACAGGGCATCCAAGGGTACCCCCTCCCCAGGATGCACGAGAACGTCCAACAGGCACGAAGAACACACAGGGCACCCTCCCAGCACCGACCTCGATCTTGTACCTCGGTCCGACGGTGCACCCGCCGTGCACACAGAGCGCACCTCCAGCTGGCTCCAGGGCCCAGCCCACATCCATGGGGACCCGCAGCACGGGGTCCACCCGCGGCTCCAGCTCCCGCACGGCCGCCTCGCACCGCGCATTCTGCGGAGGCGCTGTCCGCAGACCCGCGGTGTGGGCTCCTCCACGTTTGAGCTCCAAGGGAGGGCGGGGCAGGGACGGCAAGCGAGGGAAGAGGGGAAGGCAGGAGGAAGGGAGGGAGGGGGGACAGGGGAGGGGAGAGGGGGGGGGAGCCCGGTGCGCTCGCGGCATATCTGACATCCTACGTACCCCTTCCAGCAATCACTTTCCATTGAGCTGATTTTTCTACATCCGACGACGGGTACCATCGCGTTATGCGCGAGCAGACAGGGGAGCTGTGTACACCAGAGGGGGTGCAGGAGGAGGGGGTGGCGGAAGATCAGGAGGATGAGCAGGAGGATGAGCAGGAAGGCGAGGGAGGAGGAGAAATAGGAGGAGGAGGAGGAGGAGGAACAGCCGCAACAGTGCGAGCAGGAGTAGGAGGAGGGGGGGGAAATGGAAGACCAGAGGAAGACGGCGGAGGGAAGGGGGGGCGACAAACGACGAGGATGGACTCCGATCCAGAAATCAGGCCCACGCTGGGGCGGCAGCGCCACTCTGAACAAAGGGAGCAAGGCGCCGATCCTGAAACGAGAGCAACGCTGCAACAAGAACAGCATGTTCAACAACCAAAAAACAAAACAAACGAAAAAACGCTCGATTGGCAAATTAACACACATGAACGAGCACCTGTTGAAACACGGTGCGCTCAAGGGGAGAGGGGACAGGAGGGAAGGAGGTGGAGGACGAGGAGCAGGAGGAGGTGGAGGAGGCGGAGGAGGAAGGAGGGAGATGGGAAGAGGGAGGAGGGAGAATGGAGGGAGGGAGGCAGGGAGGCTTGGGAGGGGGAGGGAGCGGTGGAAAGGGGGAGGATGAGGAGGGTGGAAGGGACTGCCTCCTCCTCCTCCTACTACCTCCTCCTCCTCCTCCTCCTCCCCTCGGCCTCCTCCTTCCTCCCCTCCTCCTCCTCCTCATCATCATCATCATCATCCTCCTCTCCTCTTCCTCCTCGTTCCCTCCTCCGCCCTGCTCCTGCTCCTCCTCCGCCTCCTCCTCCTCCTCCTCCTCCTCCTCCTCCTCCTCCCCCTCCCCCTCCTCCTCTCCTCCTCCTCCTCCTCCTCCTCCTCCTCCTCCTCCTCCTCCTCCTCCTCCTCCTCCTCCTCCTCCTCCTCCTGCAAGTGGCTGGTCGCACCCGTAGCAGGACCAGCTTCGACGGCACCTTCGGCTCCGATCTGTAGGCTCGCAAAGTGTGCTGACGCGTCCTCGCTCGGCTGCATTGTCTGAGGCAGGGTACCCCGAGCTGGACCACGAGGGAGCGATTGGGCCTGGTTGGGGCTCTCCCTCTAAGACCATGGGGAACCCCCCCCCATTTTAGAAGTCAAAACATCCACCCCCACAAGAACCACCCCGACACGCGAAGTCGTTTAGTAAACGCGCCCGAAGAAGGAATCGAACAGGGCAGGGCTGTTTAGTAAACGGTCAGGGCAGTTTAGTAAACGCCAATTGTCCGGTCTGGGTGGTTTTTCCTCCCTTGACTTTTGGGTCTGGCCAGGGTTCAAGAACGGAAGACGATGACCGCGCGGATTCGCGCGAATCGAAAGCATCCAGACTCTCTCCCACCGGCTCTCGCAGCTGCAGCAGCCCGAAGCCCCCCCCCCTCGCCCCCGCGAGAGGCGAGGCACGGGCGCGAAAATGGGCGCTGGCGGCTCTCCAGCCTGGCCTGGCATCGAGGAGGAGGAGGAGGAGGAGGAGGAGGAGGAGGAGGAGGAGGAGAGCGCCGAATCCAGGTCCAGTGGCCCCTGGCTCCCCCCCGCGCGCGACTGCTGCACGCCGCGCGGCTGCTGCGATCGGCCTGTCGGTGCGATGCCAGCTCTCTGCGCCGCCGTGCGGGGCCCGGCGGCGGCGAAGCCCCGCGCCGCGCCCCGTCCAGGGGGGCCTTTGCAGGGTCGGAGGTGGCCTGCTGCGGCGTGCGCTGCGCAGGCCGCGCGTGCCCGCGACCACCCGCCACGTCAGGGAGCGTCCAGGAGGGGGGTAGGCAAATCATGGCTGGTGGGCTTGTTTTCCACCGCCACCACCATGAGCAGGGAGGGAGGGGGTCCTCCTCCTCCTCCTCCTCCTCCTCCTCCTCCTCCTCCTCCTCCTCCTCCTCCTCCTCCTCCTCCTCACCCTCCACCTCCTTCCCCCCTCCAACGTATGGTGGTGGTGGTGGAAAACGGGCCCATCAATGGCCCGAGGCATGTGCGCGGCCCAAGGGGGGTCCAGGGGATGCACAGAGACAAGAGGGGGCGCCATGAGATCTGGGGAGATGACGTGGCCCTGGCCATGATATCCGCCCCCCCCCTTTTCATCACCCCCGTCTAGGCCGCCCCTGGAGACCTCCCAGATGAGGTCGGAGTAGATGGGGTCGGAGGGTCGCGCCACATCGTAGATGCATTGCTGACGTCGGCGGTGCATCGGCGATACCAGCGTGGAGAAACTCGGACGCCACGTCGAGCCGCATCGCCGATGCATCGGCGATGCGGCGCGATCCTCCGACTCCACCAACTCCGACCCCATCTAGGAGGCTTGGAGCCCCCGAGTCGTGGCCACGAGCCGCGCGGTTGCCCGTCTGGTGTGGTGGTGCAGAGGGGGGCAGGGCTCGGCGCGGCGCCGGCCGCTCCGTCGGCTTTTAGGCGAAGGCGTGCAGGGCAGAGACTGCCGGCTAGTGAGCTCAACCAGCGAGTGCAGCGCGTGCGCGCTGGGAGAGGGAGTGGGAGGATGTCTTCTCTGCGAGCCAGCGGGCAGGACCGAGGAGGCCGCAGTCGCCCTGCCTGGATGAGCGGTGCGCAGAGCAGTCTCGCATGCCTGGATGCGGGATAAAACTGCAAGCGGGGGAGGAGGAGGAGGAGGAGGAGGAGGAGGAGGAGGAGGAGGAGGAGGAGGAGGAGGAGGAGGAGGAGGAGGAGGGAGGAGGGGTCTGTTTTGTTCGGTAGCAAATCATAGGAGCCTAAAATGCCTTCTCAATTCCGTCTTTAGCGTCGACTCGCGTCGATTAGCGTCCGACTCGCGTCGATCAGCGTCGATTTGGCGTCGGCCAGCGTCGATTCCGCGTCGACGAGCGTCTCCCATGAGTTGCCACCGCAGTTTTGAAGGACAGCGCCTTCCATCCTTCGACGGATGAGGACTGGGACCGGGTGGTTTGCACATCCTGGGGGGAGCCCAGCGACAGCCACGCTTGGAGAAAGGAACTCTTCCGCGCCCGTAGGAGATTGGGCGCCGCCCTCCTAGCCGTGCAGCTAATGCACAAGTTGATGGGGTGCTCCAAAAACGGCTTCGCCTTCGAGGATACAGTATTCGGCCTGGCCTACGGAACGATAAATATGGAACGAAGCCCCTCTTTGTTCCAAGCAAGTCCAGGAACTCCGAAGAAACACCAGGAGGGCTCGCCGCCAGAAAGGTAGCGGAACGCATGCAAACCAAAGGAAGGACCGAGCCCCTTTAGAAAAGTAAGCGTTACTTGTTCCAGCCGGGCCCTGCACCAGGAGCTGTCCTCGTCGTCCGCCGCGGCAGGCGGCGGAAGGTCAGCGGAGGTGAGACGAGGCGGCCTCCGCCGGCAGAAGCTCGGCGTTGAGGCGGCGGAGGTAGGCGGCGTGCCCCCAGTCGGAAACTGGAACGTACACATTACCAGTGGCGGGCGGTTTTCCAACCCCAGGATTTTTTGAGGGCCGGGGACGACGCTGGGGTGGTGTGGTGTATACTTTTTTCCTCGATGCCCCGGGGAAGCAACGGAACAGGTATACACCAGGGTCCCGTATACACCAGGCTCCGCTCTCCGGTGCAAATTTCAATGCAGGGCCGGAAAAAGCGTCGGTGTATAGAGTTCGATTCCCTACCCGGGAGGTGAAAAAACGTCTCGGAAGCGCCCACAGCCAACCCGCATAGTAAGGATGGGCAGCCTTCCCAAGGGCACCCTTGCACCCCTGCCTCCTCGGTCTATCCTCGGCCATTTCCGTGGGCCGCGCCCTGGTCGGGAAGCTTCGAAATGGGTTCCCGAGGCCGTTGCATCCTTCTCGCGCATCCTTGCTATACGGGTTGACTGCACTTGTTGCAGTCTGCAGTCGTTCTGGTCGTGTTGCAGTC